AGAGAATCGGAAAAGATGATGTATTGCTTATATTTACGATATTTTTTAATATATTTAAGAGCTGTTAATATGGCGTTAGCTTCAGCTGTGAAAATAGAGCTGTTATTTGGTAGTCGAGAAGAAATTGTTCGGGATCCAATGACAGTTGCACATGCCACCGCGCCACCATCCTTGGACCCATCTGTAAATAGGGATTTGTAAGTATTATATTTATTTTTTAATTGATTATATTCTTGTTTATATTGTAATTCATTAGTTTCAGATTTCTTAAACTTTGTCAGAGTTAGGTCAACTTCAGGCCTCACCAGTTGCCAAGGAGGAGAAGAAAGAAGACGGGAAGGAGCTATATTTTCCAGCTCAATGCCGGCAGCAGACAGGAATGGTTTAATTCTGTGCCCAAGAGGCGGAACAAGAGAAGGCTTTTGTTGTATAAATCCTCCTATATAGGGATTGAAAACACAGTTAAATGCAGGGTTAGACTCGCTAGAATATAGTTTAGAAATGTATTGTAAAGATAATTTTATACGACGTTGTGTAAGAGAGGGCTCATCTGCTTCAACATATAGACTATCAATAGGAGAGGTTCTAAAGGACCCAAGACAAAGTCTTAAGCCTTGGTGGTGGACAGAATCAAGTAGTTTTAGGTTGCTTTTGCAGGCTCCACCATATACGATGGAGCCAAAATCAAGTTTCGAGCGGACCAATGATCGATATAGGTGGAGGAGCGTAGCTTGATCCCCTCCCCACTTTTAGTTGGATACAACTTTCAACAAATCGAGTGCCTTCAGGCATTTGGCTTTAAGTGATTTAATATGCGGCAAAAAGGTTAAATGGGAGTCGAAAATTAGACCCAAGAATTTGGCCTCCTTAACAACTTTGATGGGAGTGCCATTTAAAGATAGTTCTGGATCCTGATGGGGCTTATATTTTCTACAAAAGTGTAGACAATTAGTTTTGGACTTGGAAAACTTAAAGCCGTTTTCAAGACACCATTTATTTATTTTATTTAAACACAACTGTAATTGCCGTTCAATAGTATGCATATTTTTACCACGACAAGAAATGTTAAAATCATCCACAAAAAGTGATCCATCAATGGAATCGTTTAAAACCTTGGATAAACTGTTAATCTTGATACTAAATAAAGTGACAGACAAAATACTGCCTTGAGGGACACCCTGATCCTGAATGTAATGATCAGACAGGGTTGAACCCACTCGGACTTGAAATTGTCTGTCTTTCAAAACCGTGATATAAAAAGAGGCAAACGGCCTCTCAAAACAAAAGTCATGTAAATCCTTCAAAATGCCATGCTTCCAGGTCGTATCATAAGCTTTCTCAAGATCAAAGAAAATTGATACAGCATGTTGTTTACTTACTATAGCATTCTTAACAAAGGATTCCTAGCGTACCAAATGATCAATGGTACTACGATTTTTCCTGAAACCACATTGAATATTGGTAATAAGGTTATTGGTTTCAAGATACCAAGTTAATCTATTATTCACCATACGTTCAATGGTTTTACAAACACAGCTAGTTAGAGAGATCGGTCTGTAATTAGACGGATCTGTATGATCCTTACCAGGTTTTGGTATTGGGACTACAATGGCATTACGCCATGAAGGAGGAAATTCCCCAGACGTCCATATTTTGTCAAATATATCTAAAATTGTCATCAGACATGGTTCCGGTAAGTGTTTCAATAGCTGGTAATGTATATTATCATCACCCGCTGCAGTGTCATGAGCTTGCTCAAGAGCAGTATGTAGCTCATGTAATGAAAACACTTCATTATAATCTTATTTGATTCGAAATTAAGTTTGGTCTTTTCCTTTTGTTTCTGATATCTCTGAAACTCAGGGACATAATTTGCCGATGATGAATTTTTGGCAAGGGTTTCTCCAATTTTATTTGCAATGTCAGATTTATCAGTTATCAAGTTAACACCATCTTTAAGATGGTGTACAGCTGAATTTGAACCTTTGCCTTTTATTCGCTGAACCATGTTCCAAACCTGAGACATTGGCGTGCGCGAATTGATTTTGGAGACATAATTTCTCCAAGATTGTCGTTTGTTTTGTTTAAAGGTACGACGCGCCTTTGCATTGAGTATTTTAAATTTATTTAAGTTATGGACAGTTGGATGATGGCGGAAATAACGCTCTGCCTTTTTCCTCGCTTTTCTGGCTTGTCTACAGTCTGTATTAAACCATGGTTTCCGTACGTGTGGAGTTGTAGAGGATTTCGGTATACACTTATCAGCTATTTCCTTTAAAACGTCAGCAAAAATCTGAATGGGATCAGGTACGTCACTGAAGCATTCAGGTCGTAATTTCGATTTAAATATAGTTTGAAATAAAGGCCAGTCAGCCTTCGAAAAATGCCATCGTGTATATGATGGAGAATCAGATGGAGTTATTTCTGAAAGAATAGTTGGGAAGTGGTCACTTCCACAGAGGTCACTATGGACAGACCAACCAAATTCATTTAGGAGGTCAGAGTCTGCAAGAGACAGATCTAGAGAAGAATAGGTTCCGGTTGCAGGATGCAGGTAAGTGCTTGAATCATCATTGTATATACATAGGTCATTATTGGAGATAAAATCTTCCAGTATTTTACCTTTAGTATTGGTGTTATTACTGCCCCAGAGTGGGTTGTGGCCATTGAAGTCGCCCATGATAATACAGGGCTTCGGTAGTTGATCATAGAGAGACTGAAGATCAGCCTGTTGAAGTGCTGACGAAGGGGGGATATATAGAGAACATAAAGTAAAAGCAACACCCAGAGTGAGCCGTATTGCTACAGTTTGAAGATTAGTTTTGAGTGTAACAGGGCTGTGAATAATATCTTGTCGCACAAGGATAGAAGATCCTCCACTGGCTCGATCACCTGGAGGAGAAAAACAATGATAGGCTTTAAACTGACGTAAGGTAAAATTGTCTGTCAGTTTCAGGTATGTTTCCTGCAGACAAAATACCGATGGTGTTATATCTTGGATTAATAGCTGAATTTCATGCAAATTAGTTCGCAGTCCTCTACAGTTCCACTGCACGATGTTGGTAGAACAAACTATCTTTTGGGTGGGTTAATAGGGGATCTACCCCTCACCTTTTTCGAGGGCGACAAGCTATGTTCCCTGGGATGGAAGTTTTCTAACACTTCCATGTCCTCAAGCGATCCATATTTATTGTACAATTTGACTGGATTATCTGAACCCTTCGGGGGTCTTCCACTCTTTTTTGAAGATTCTGTTCTTGAGTCGGTTTTACTTTGAACAGTATTCTTCGAGCTTGTTTTTGCTTGAGACTTTTGAGTTGACTGAGACAAAGATTGTTCTCCGGATACAGATGAAATCTGACTGCAGGGCTCTGATGGACCTTTAGTGAGTGAGTGAGTGTTGATAGAAGAGGTCGAGGTCTGAGTAGACTGTTCAGGTGCAACAAACTGAGCATTAGTAGTTTTAACCCATGTCAAATCTGTTTGGCAATGTATCGACGAGGTGGTTACTTTTGACATGTTTTCAGAATGTGTTCTGACGACTGATGCATATGATTCAGTCGGTGCTGCAGAGTCCACAAGTTTTTTGGCATCAGCAAAACTGATGTCCTGGTTGAATTTAATTTTATTGATTGCCATTTGTTTCCTCCAGATTGGACAGTCTTTGGAGAAAGAAGAATGATTTCCTGAACAATTTGTACACTTTTTAAGGTCACTGGTGCAGTCTTCTGTGACATGAGTAGTCTCACTACAGTGGGCACATGTTATGGGCTTTGTACAAGTATTAACTCCATTAACTTCATTTTAAGTCTAGTAATTGTCATTAGTGTCAGTATTAGTATAGTAGTCCGCATGGTTCCTAGTATGGTGATCTACCTTCAGTTGTTGGCGATCTATAGCCCGTCTTTTATACTGCATTGTCTTCTTTAATTGGAATGTTTTAGCTTTGCTCGCTAGTTTTATATTCATAGCTGTGATTCTCTAGTATTTTTACTGTCCATAGTCGACAGATTATTTTCACTTTGTATCGTATAAATTGTTTTCGTCACGATATGGCTGGGATATTGCCGATGTGACGTTAAATATTAACTCACTCACTCACTTTCTGTATTTGAGAGGTGAAAGTGTCCATTAACATTCTGTCAGTGTCCATGCCATTCCGCACTTGCAGAAAGATAACTGAAGGCTAAATTACCAATGTAAAAAACGTCTCAAAGTAGATATTTTAAAAAAATGACAGCCGATGTTAACACATGTTTTCTAGCGAAAGTTTTGTTTTCTTTCAAATATCCGGGGAGGGGTAGCCTGGATGTATGTGGAAGATAATTTAGCAATTGAGAGGAAAAGGCAAGGGGAAAGCATAAGCATTCAATATAAACAGAAAAGCATTGAAACATAGTGAGACGTTTTAATTGCATAACAGATAAATTCAAACATATATCATGATAGCACTGTACACATCTGTGTAGATATTTAAGGAATCATGCATAAATCATATTGACAATTTATCTTATGCCTGCAAAAGTATGCCGATAGTTTCCGACTGACATAAAAAACTGGCTAAAGTACTGGTAAACGCAACCGAAGTTGCGCTGGGAACGAACCAAGTCACTGTGTGCGTTGGAGCATGACGAGGCACAACCTAATTACAACAATTATTAGAGAAAGAAAGCGAGTGACCTATCCCTGCTGTAGATTATCCCTGATTAAATGCAGCTCTTCCCAGCAGCACGACCATGAAGGTGACACAAAATGACCGAAGCCATCATAAAGTAATTAAGATCCAATAAAAACAATACCTGTACACCGGCGAATATCATGCATAAGCAGTCATGTGAATTTAAATAAACCTTTCAATGACAAGAACACAATGTCACAAAATGTAGAAACATATGGTCATATGTTTAAGATGGGTCTGATTGATCACACCACTGTTATTTTCCTGCAAGATCACATCTAAAGAGACTTCATCCCGTAATTACAAATTGAAGTTTCGACCTCCAATTTTAGCTTAACATGGGTCCTCCTTTGGTCAAAAGTTTGTTCCCTCCGAAATGCGTGGGTCACGGGTTGCACACGAGTGACCAACGCGACTCACATCCGTGTGCAACGCGTGGCCAACGGGTTCCACATGAGAGACTCACACGGGTTGCGTCACGCGTTACGGACGCGTGTAAAGGGAATGAACTTTTAGGCAGTAGTGTATAGCCTAAAGAGCTTATTTCTTAACAATCTAAAGTTCATATTTGGTATTTTGAAATTAACTTCACACCAAGTCTTTTGGAATATACCCTAGAATCATGGTAGAGTCTACGTACACTGTTTGCGAATTTGATATGACGCACATGTCATGTTTTAATGCCATAAAATCATGTGATTTTTGCCGGCCATTTTGGAATTTTTTGAATGAATTATTATGCAAGTCATGTTACAATATATTTCACATGAATCCTTGCCCCCAAAAGTCCCAGTTTCAAAACTAAATCATTCATATGTGTCTTCTGAGAGCAGATATATAATAAATTATTGATATTTGGCGGCCATATTGAATATATGCATTTTCAACCAATTTTTAAACAGTTCCATCTAAATGCTCCAAAAATACGAACCCTTCCATTTGAATGTTTAACAACAATAGGAACAAAATGAAGGAAAAGACCACCTAAATGCTCAACACTACGAACTCCCAAAGGTAGCAGAAAACAGACTGTCCAAACCGACCATTGATCAACGGTCATGAACCTACCGTTCATAAATCATTTTATATGCCAGGGAATGCGATTGGTTTATGTATTCATGTATTAGTTTAATAATGTTTAGTTTGTATTAAAAAATCCCCATAACTATCACTTAAGATGAAGATTATCTCACAATATTGCTCAAAACAGGCACTGAGTGAACAATGGACGCTCCTACAATGTGGTGAAAACATTTCTGTTGCAATTTGTTCCAAGTCAAAGGTTACTGTGGACTAATTGCTGTAAGTATTTCTCTTGCATTGTTTTACCTTTCACAATTTAGGACACAACTATCAATGCATGTCCATGTTTGATATTAAGTTTTATTTTAGTTTAATAATACTAGAAGATAAAGGCAGCACAAATATTGACTAGCATAGCAATAACACTTCATTTTTGGTGAAGATGCCAAGGCGATGAAGTACGACACGGTGAATAACAATATAGTACCGAGAATATTTGGAAAGGAAATCAACAAGACGCCTTTTTCGAGATACAGAAAAATACATTCTATCAAATAATGTATAATGAAAAGTAAGTCAATAGAAATGGATTTCCAGATACCGAAATACCACATTCAGGCATAAAGACTTCGTTAATGGATACTGCGAATGGAGAGGTCTCGAGGCTGATTAGCTTTCTGGAGAACTCAATGAACACGGATCAGTGTCGTATCGGAATATCAACAAGGATTGTAATGAGACTGGTGATTTGTGAAACACCACAGCAGAACACGTGGAATACACAACAAAGGAGGGACACCGAGAAATGTTTTACCTGAGTGCTATGTTAGGTGCAGAACTTTCAGTATGATGTTCTGGAAGGCACGACGTATAATCCCGTATAAAGGATAAAAAGAAGTTGTTTTCCACAATAAACGTGTCATGCATCCATGTTCGTCCAAATTCTAAATGCCTATAATCCCGTTTAAAGAATAAAAAGAAGATATTATCCATAAAACGTGCCACGTATTCAAGTATTAGATGATGAGCAATGTACTATTCGAAAACAAGGCAGAAATGCTTAATATAAAGATTTGCTTGACAGACTTTAAAATGAAGTTGATCTATGCTACGGCAATATGGACATTCTGCATATGAGTACTTCTGTATTTGTGAAAGATGAAATATTGAGATAATCAAGACATCTCTCCTCAAAAGAAATGGTTGACATGATAATACCAGGAATGCCAGGTGTTTCAAAAGGGCCCAATGAGATACTAACGGGATGATGCCAGCAGTATCTTCCTATGTGTTGGAGCACCTGATGTGATTGTAAAATGTGTTCCCACACAGAGACCAGTAAAAGAGGAAATGATGCCATTAAACAACATTGGCCACTAATATTCCCTGACGATAACAGTGCGTAGATTATGCATGTGTAGGTTACATCGAAATTCATCATACACCCACAAACGCGCACGCATGCACTCATTCACATGCATATATTTAGCTTGAATTTTTTTCTGAGTTTTGTATCTGTTTATCATTAGCAGTCCACACACATCAGTATCTGAATAATTATTTTTATTCACAGTGTACAATAACTCTTGTATCTTAATGCAAAATCAGAGAATGTGTTTGTTTGCTTTTTATGCTATTTTTATGGTGAAATACTCGATATCCCCACGCGAGATAAAATTGCTTGTCTGATAACAAGCAGAACCCATAGCAGACCGTTATATATATATATATATCTAAATGGCGATATCGCAACTGTTTGGCATTTCGCTTTTTGGAAATGGAATGTGGAAGAGATATTTTCAGTTGTTAACAAAAATAGTTTCATGAACAGTCAATCATGAGAACACTGACGGTTAAAATATATATAAAAGGACGATATCGTGAAAGGCAGTGTAAGAAGTAAGGCTCGTCCGACCGACCGAGACGGGCTACATTTCTGACGGATGGTCTAAATTTACAGCTAGCCAGTCCGATGGTTTGGTAAATTGTTAGATGTTCCATACATCTGAGTAAATTCACCATATTTGGTCTGGTTAAATCCATTTTTGGCTGGTAACCTTTGTAGTTACCAGCCCTGATGTGTGGCTGGAATTGTGGCTTATTTCATACACTGGAAAAGGCTGCATATTCAATTGTTTTTGCAACATTTCATTTCTTCCTGTTCTACCGCATGGAACATGTTTTCAGTTGTTAGCTAAGACAACTGTAAAAACAGCAACATGACTAAGTGGTGTTTTGTCACTCTTGGGAATATGTTCCTAATTTTAATAGCGTGCCTCACTTTCGATGTGGCTACTTGTCAACTGCCAGCTACGTCTACCTACAGTTCGGTAGTCTTCAAGAACATAGGCATCAAGTTATGCCAAAACAAATGTATACAAATCGGCTTCTGTCGAGCTCTTGTATACACTATTCCGACTCTCACTTGTCAACTATCAGAAATGGACCATGATACTATTGCGAATGAGACACAGCACTTCGTTGGAGGAAAGGACCTAGCAAATGTAAGTTGCTCTGTGTTGTTTGTGTTGAACTTTGCCTTTCCTCATTGTGGCTGTCATTATCTCTACGCATATGCAAAAGGAAGGAGACTTTCATGTGAAGGTTAACATTCGCTTACATCAATTGGAAACATTCCATTCTGTCCCAGGAAGCTGTCACCCACAGTCAGACTGAGAGTCAAGTGGCAAGACCTAAAACGTAATTTTATGCTACATCAGTTTTTCAATGACAGAACTTGCGCATTTGAAAACAGAATTGGAATTATCGTACTCTGTCATAGCAATTTGTGATGTAAAATCTGCCTGTCCTACATGACTAGTTTGTAGTTGTTCCAAGACCCCTTAAAACAAAATTTATATGCTACATCTGTTGTTCGACCACCTAATATAAATAACATCAGGGGCGGATACAGCTTTTTGGGGGTTGGGGGGTGGGGTGCACACTATTGAGAAAAGGAGGTGTGCACACTTCATTTTCACACTAGTTTCAATGGTCAATTAACAAACTTTCAGCACAAAAGGGGGGAGTGGGGTGGGTATCCCTGCACCCCCTTCTGGGTCCGCCTATGGACATATCAAATAATGGCACATAGGAGACCTAGACGTCAACTGTGGAAAAGGTGTGCCCCATAATGTATCTGTATTATCAACTTTACACGTGATTTTCCAAACACGAAGACGTGTATAATATAATTTCCATTTGCCGTCACACCTCTCCCACTTCTTCACACGTAACAGTCAGCCGAGTGCCCTGCCAAAACAGAGGATATTATATGATCTGAGCCCGGTAAATTGAGTCCCCTAGTACTGCTAAATCTCAGCACTGATTTTTACACCCACCACGAGAAGCTTCTCCATGTCATCAGCAAGTAGGAACTGAAGGCAGTGACCGGAAGTAATTCATTTCCCATTTGACAGGCCCGGCTGACAGCAAAATATCAGACAGAGTGGATCTGACCTACGGTTTCAAACAGGTGTCCCACATCCAGTCCTCTGTCTCCTACACACGCGTCCTTCACATAACAAGTATTCCTTTGCAAATGGCATCTATATTGCTGATCCGTATGAATCTTGTAATCTGTCTGATCATTCAGCCTAGCAAACCAGCTGTCCGACAGCTCTCCCCTTTTCATGGGTCCTAAATTATATGACGCACAGAAAAAGCACCCAAAACAGCATATATATGGTAAAAGTGTTTTCATTGTTACGAACGTAGTACACGGCAGGTATCCCTTACACTGGTGTAAGTGGAATATCATGAACATCATGATTTTGCTGAATCGCACATGCATGTTGTGTCGTAACAATGTAACTTGCAGTCGACTGAAATTGCCAGTGGGTAACCTGTGAAAGGCAGATATCACAATGCCAGGATTATCAGCAGCGGAGCGGGAACGAGCCTTTTTCATGTGACAGATGGGAACTTCAAACATGCCAGGTTGAGCATGCACTCGTGGGTGGACATGGCGCATCTATTGTGGAATAATAATGATAATGCTAATTGTGTGCGCCTAGAATCCAACACGATGCTGCTCCCTGGCGTTACATTATATCCCTGACGGAATCGTACTTCCAAAGTAGCTACTAAGCGCTTCGCATGACCGTATAGGTCCGTACTTCTCAGGTACCCATTTTGAACAGCTGGGTGGACTGAGTGCAATGTGGACGAAGTGCCTTGCCCAGGGACACAACACAGTATGACACCCAGGTGACAAATTTTGGTGCTCCTCTGTGCCTATTGTTAGTATCCACATAAAAAGCATAATGATATCACAAGCATCTGTAGTAGAATGTGTACACATATTGGCTTGAGATATAAAGATATGGATTTTTTAATAAGATCAAGACATGTGTCCTACTTGCTGCTGTTTTAGGTCCGAGCTGGCTCCTGTCAGTTGACTACTTGTCCAAACATGAGGTGT